AACTTGGAGAAGATATTTCCGCCTTCATTCTTCACAATTATGGTGCATCTGCTATTTCATCTTCCTCACGAAGCAAAAGTTGGTAGACCAGTTTTCTATCGATGGATGTACCCTATAGAGAGGTTTTAATTGAATTACATGTTTCAAATTACTACTTATTATACCTTTTAATAAAATGTATTTACGTAGTATGTTGTTTTATGTATAGGTTCATGGGCAAGTTGAAGTCTTATTGTCGTAATAAGCGTTATCTAGAAGGATCAATTACTGAAGGGTATTTGGCAGAGGAATGTATGAAATTTTGCTCTAGATATTTGGAAGATGTTGAAACAAGATGGAATAGACCAAATTGAAATGATGTGTTAAGTACTGATGACTTACCTCAACATTATTTGTTTGGAAGTTATGGTCAACCATTAGGGAAAGTTAAAATTGCACACTTAGATGACACGCCATGGGTACAAGCACACTGATATGTTCTTTTCCATCATTGCACACTTAGATGACACGTCATGGGCACAAGCACACTGATATGTTCTTTTCCATCACGATTCAATAGATCCATTTCGCACGTAAGTCTTTCGGACCCAAGCTATATGAAATCTCTTAATCTTTTATATATATCAATTTTTAACGACATAATATACTTTATAGTGAGTTTAAAGAAGTCTTGAGATCTCGTGCACGGTCCCGAAGATTAAATCAGCGAGAGCTACATAAGTTATTCACAGAAACTTTTCATGAATGGTTAGGCCAGACGGTAAGCAACTACATCTTATGGAATACTTATACATAATATATGTCTTGCTTTTTATATCGACATCAATGCCAATTAATTCACCATTCATTTGTAATATGTTTGGAGTGGGAGAGAAATTAGTGAAGATGTTAAATGGCTTTCTCAAGGTCCAAATAGAATAATTAAAAGATATAATGTCTTCCTCATTAATGGGTTCAGGTTCCACAAAATCTCGTGAAAGATTAAGGAGGACACAAAATTATGGAGTCGTAGTTACTTCGTCAACCACAAGTTATGCTACTGTCAGGGACAATAATTCGCAGGAGGGAGAGGTCGATTATTATGGAAATCTTACGAACATTATTGAGTTAGATTATTATGGAAAACGAAAGGTTGTGTTGTTTCGGTGTGACTGGGTTGATGTAAACAGATGCATAAAAAGAGATAAATTTGGGTTTACAATGGTGAATTTCTCTTGATTAATTCATACGGGTCAACGTTTGATGGATGAACCATATGTATTTTCTTCTCAAGTGAAACAAGTATTTTATTCTCAGGATCCAATGGATAACAGTTGGTATGTTGTGTTCCGAAATACTCCCAGAGACGTGATAGACATCGAAGATGGAAGAAGAGATGAAATTGAAACAAGATCAGAATGTTTACCTCTACTACCACAAAACTTAGATGAAACTATCATAAATACAACACAATTTCAATGGGTTCGAGAGGACGTTGATGAAGATATTTTGGTTCACAAACGCCTCAAACTTTAGCGACGCTATTTTCAACGACGCTTTTTACGGCATTTGTCATAACGCCGCAGGTGTTTTTTGCGGCGCTTATAAACGCCGCTATAGGTAAAAAAACGCCGCAAAAAGACAGTTTTACTGTAGTGACTACTATGAACTATCCTTCTCTCTGAATAATGACGAAAATACCAAGTTACATAAATGTGGGAGAAACCACATCCACACAAGTTGTTAGTTTCAATCTAGCCATTGAGGCGTGGCCCATGAAATACAACATGAAATAATTGTATGCCCTCCAGATTTAAAGGTGCCTTATTGGGCATTTATTATCTCATGTATATTCTTCTCAACTATTTTTTCTTAATACAATAAAATTAAAATTAGAATAAATGAAAGAGTTCGCATAATAATTACATAAATTTTAATTTTTTTACATTCAAATATGAAGAAGAGTGATATATTATAAGTTTGAATATTTACTAGTTATTTTACAATTAAATTTAGAACTTATATAAATATTTTTTTAATAAGAGAAAGGGTAAAAATTATTCAAAGGTTAAATTTGAAACTGGTTTAATTGAAGATAATATTTCTTTAGCATTTCATTTCTGATTCAACCAATCAATATTGATTAAGATAAGTCATTCAAATATTGGACCTTCCATTTTTCTGTTAATATTTTTTCAATGAGAAAATAATAATAATCTTGGGGTAGGATTGTTTAATGAAAACAAACTCTTATATTTTTCTTGGATTTTTTTCCCTTCTGTTTAAAATTTTTAGATAGTTATCCATCCGCAACTAATCTTTCATCTAATATTTTCTTTTGTTTGATTCATTGTTTTCTTTCTTTTCTCATTTTTATCCATAGGTTTTTTAAAGGTATTTTTATCCATAGTTGATGTCGATCTTATTGATATTGGCAAATCCGCAGATGAATCGGCCATCAACATCTCTTTTGTAGATCTATGATTTGTTTTGTAGATTTAAAATTCTTTGTTTAATGAGTATGTTATAAAATAATGACATGTATAATTATTGCTCAATAAAATAAATACCACGATTTTACGTGGAAACTTCAAAAGAAAAAAAATCACGGGCACAAGAAGCGAAAAATTCACTAACGTTAAGAGAAGAATAATAGAAGAGGAGTCCTCATGGACAATTTAATGTCTAACTCTAACCCTTAATATTTATTTATAGGGATAGATAGTTGATTATAAAGAAAAACTAAAAAAAGTAGAAATTTACTTTAATAAAGCTATCTACTTTTGATCAAACTAGGATTCTTACTTTTCCAAATTTAAATGTTAATTAATTTACGTCACTTTGAATTCAAGTCAAACTCTAAAAAGTCTCCACCTTGACGTGAATTCTGACAGTGCAAATGTTTTGAGACAAAACACCCAAATTTGATGACTTAAAACTTAACAAAAAAACAATTTTCACTGCAACGAACAAGTTCTCCACCTTGAGAACATACTCTCCACTTCTTCCACGAAATCCCTTAAAGGATTATCCTTCAATAATGATTGTCAACTAAATCCATAGCTTACCGAAACTTGGATTTAGTCTTCACATCGCTAAGGAAATAATAAATGCTAATTATGCTCACAACTTGTTTACTACAAGCAATATCATGCATAACACCATTCCGATCATCAATGGCAATTCTATTTTTTCTGTTATATAATCATGAAACTAAATTTTCTTCTTCTCGAATCTATTATGCCCACAAAACTGAACTATTTTTTCTTCTCAAATCCGTTATGTCCAAGGAATGAACCACTTTTTTGCTCCCTAAACCGTTATGCCCATGGTTGTTTTGTTCAACACAAAATCATCCTTTACCACGAAGGAAAAAAATAATATTTCATCTTCTATAATTGTTGAACCCTGTAGAATATAAACTTGGCAATCTTCCTCTACCCTTTCATCAAAATAAGAGAACTCTTACAAATTTACGTACCTCTACGTTCCATGATTTGAATATGGTGTTGCGATCCAACAATGACTTCTAATACTCTGAAGATTTCATTATCATAATCAAGTCAAACAACCCAAATGCTCTAATATCAATTTGTTATAAAATAAACGACAAGCATAATGATCGCCCAAAAAAATAGATACCAAGATTTTATGTGAAAAGTCGAAAAGGGAGAAAAAAAGCCCACATGCAAAAGAGAAGAAAATTCATTAATGTCAAGAGAAGAAGAATACAAGAGGAGTCCTTGTGGGCAACTTAATCTCTAACTCTAACCCTTAATATCTATTTATAAGGAGATAGTTTATTACAAAGGAAAACTAAATAAATTAGAAATCTACTTTTAATAAGGTTATCTACTTTTAATCAAACTAGGATTCTTACTTTTCTAAATTTAAATATTAATTAATTTCTATCATTTTGAATTCGAATCACACTCTAACAAAGTATTTTCCTTTTTCTTATAAAAGTAGTTAAAAATTATCTTGTGTGATACAAATTTTTCTATTTTTCAATGTTATATTTTTCATTAATTTCTGTTTTCCTAAAATCTTAATTAATTATTAGGGTAAACTACTCAGTTGACCACTTCACTATGTAGCCCTTTTACTTTTGCCACCGATCTTTCAATTCTATCAATCAATCCATTTAACTATTTAATTTGTTCAATTAGACCACTAGTCGTTAATATTTGATGAAAATGCTAATGTGACAGTTAAAAGAATTGGTATATTTTTACATTTAATCCTTAATATTTATATATTCACTCAATTTGGTCATAATTTAATAAATTAATCATTCAATCAGGATCTGACATGTGTCAGAATAGGAAAATGACATGTCACGTTAGTGACACTTGTCAATAAATGATTGGATGATATATTTTTATTAATTTAAATTTATTTAATTAAATTATTTTTCTATCCAATCAGACGCCGACAAAATTCAAATGGGAAATAAAGGCTAAAGAACAAAGGATGCATGGGGTAGGAATCAAACTTGGGACCTCGGGTATGCTTGCACACACCTTACTACTGGCCTCTTTAGGTTTGTATTATATTTTACACAATACCCTATATATTTTAGTTAATACCAGAGAAAAAAAGAAATATTCTCATAGTGATAATTGAACCTAGATTTTTTATATATATTATAAATTGATTCATACATTATTAAAATAAAAATTAAATTTAATATTTATTTATTTATTTTTAAAATAATTTTAATATTTTTCTTTTCACATTTATAATTCAAGGATTATATATAATTTCAAATCGAATCTTTTTAATTTAATTAATAATTTCATTTTTATTATTTAAATTATGTGATTTAAAGTAGATTTTTGTTAAACTTTGATAAAAAAATTAATTAAATATAAATGATTTACATTTTATTTTCAATAAAAAAATAAAATTATTAATTAAATTAAAAAAATCGATTTGAAATTATATATAATCCTTGAATTATAAATGTTGATTCTGGAACTCATATATATCAACCCCTGCTGAGAAAAAAAAATCCTTTACAAAGCATGTTGATTCTGGAACTCATATATATCAAGGATTTTGAAAGAATGAGTTAGAAGCATTTGAGTCATAAATACAACCTTACAAAAGCATAAGGTGATAATTTGATGCATAGAAACTCGTAAAATGTTTCAGTACAATAGTGTCGTAGAAAGATCATAAATGGCAGCCATCATCAGAGCAAAGCATACAATTTCAGTTACCACTTTCCCTCTTTTCTAACCACTGCAAAGCTAAGGTAACAAATTATTTAAATTTTATCTCAGAGCCAACATGTATGAAAAAATATTGCAGAAATATAGAGAAAACGAGACAAGATTTTTTTAACGCAGAAATTTATAGAGGGAAGAATCCAAAAAATTCTTTTGCCTCCGCTTTAGACTTCAGCTTAGAAACATATTTTGTCTTCGCCAGAGCCTTAGAAGTCAGTTTAGAACTCTTCTCGGATTTGGCAACAGATTTAGACTTCACCTTAGTAGCAGTCAGCTTCTTCTTCATTAGAGCAAAATGAGTTGTCTTCTTCGACGGAAGCTTAAATGTCTTCAATTTAACAAATTTTCCAATAGTAACAAGCTTCTCCAAATAGAAGAACAAAAGCTTGTTGAATTTCCAAACATGTATTCTAGATGGGCCAATGACTTTCTAGCATGGCATTCAACATTTCCAGGTAAGTGGTTAACGGCCACATAAGCTTTCAGTCACCCATACCCATGTTAACGGCATTTAATGACGAGTGACTGATTTCTTATAAATCGATAATGTTAGTGAACAATTTGTTACTTTTGAAACTTTAGTGGAAAAAACGAAAAACTTACTCAACCATTACTGACCATTGGTGTAGTTTACCCTATTTTTAACTCAAATGAGCATTCTATGTTTTTATAATTTAAATACTCAATAAAAAACATATTATAATTGTACGCACCATCTTTTACCCGGAGAATAAGAAATTTGGTTTCGTACTTAAAGAAATGTTGAGAGTCGTCAACAATCAGTTTAGGTGTGATTGGATCACCAAAAACGTTTAGGGTCTACGAAAACCAACATCTTGTTCGGGGGCACGATTACGTGTAAGGAAGGGTTAGCACCCTCACCACGCCCGTAAAAATGGCGCTCACTTGATCACAAGTATTTCATCTCGACTCATGTATGCAATTAATGTGCTTTTAGATTAATAAAGAATTTTTAAATTTTCAAGAATAACTTTGAATTCTCTAATGGCTAAGAGAATCAGAATTATGTTCGAAAACCCTAAATATTCATAAATTAATTTGTGAAAATTTCGACAAGCGAAGTCTTTCATAAGTGATTTCATTATCCAACGTCTAGAATGTTGAAAACATTTTGATATTTCAATATAACAAATTAAGTTAAATGAATTTTAAGATTGTGCAATAAAAGTTTTCTAAGTATATTCGATATAATTATTCGAATATCAAAACATTGCTCTAAATCTTTCAAAAATCATTTTTAATCCTTACTCAAGTGTAAAATTAAGTTTTAATCTTAAAACAATTTCAAACTAATTTTACAAAGTATTTCGAACCATTTCAAAGCCAAAAATTCCAAATTGCTCAGAGGGAACCGATTCCCCCCCAAGGGGGTACCGATTCCCCCCTTAATGGTTTGGCTCCGAGAATTCCAGTATGCTCGGAGGGAACCGATTCCCCCCAGGGGGTACCGATTCCCCCCTGTGTAACGGTCGAAATATTTGAATTTTACACTTAGGGAACCGATTCCCCATAGGGAGTACCGATTCCCCCCACGCTCCAAGCTGTTTTATTAATTGTTTTCACACTAAAACGGCTATATTATCTTCTCTAATCATCCCCGACGTTAAGAAGTGGTTCAAGGTGTATTTAAGCAAGCTTAGAAGCCATTGATCAAAAACAACAAATATCAAGCAACTAGAATCAAGAGAGAATCAAAGAGAAAGCATCAAACCTCAAGTTTGAGCATTTCAAGCCTATTTTTCATTCAATATTCATCTTGCTTTCAAGAACACTTATTGTGCTCAATTGTATTCATTTTTGAGTGTTCTTTTCTTTGTTCTAGAATTGTGCAAACAATCTACCTTGTGAGGATTTCCTTGTAAGTTTGCAAATTTTGTATTGTTCTCTTTGGAAGAGAGTGTTCTCAAGAATTTGGGGTATAATTCTTGAGGGTTTGTAAGGTTACTCTTTGTCCTCAAAAGAAAGAAAAATTAGTGAATTTGTGGAAAATCCTTAGTGTGGATAGCTAAGGTAGTGGACGTAGACTTTGGTTGAGAAAGTCGAACCACTCTAAATCGCTGTGCAATTTCTTTCAATTTTCTGCAAAAGCTTCCACCAAATTGTTTTTGCCAATTCACCCCCCTCTTGGCCAATTCCGTCAATCGATTAACTCAACAATTGGCATCATAGCCTAACTCATTTGAAGGTTTAATCGCCTCTTGAGTCAATTCGGGAAAGAGTTACATCGATAATCAAAGTCATCAATGGCCTCTACTTCAAACTTCGACTCCGGTCTCGATTCGATGCCCGTCAACAAGCCTCCTTTCTTCAATGGGGATAATTATGCCTATTGGAAAAATAGGATGATGTACTTCATTCAAGCAAGTGAAATGGGAGCATGGAATGTCGTAGAAGAAGGATACTTCAAGCCTCTCACTCATCCAAGATTATAGAGTGAAGGAGAGACAAAAATGTTACAGCTCAACTCCAAAGCCATCCATATCATATTTTGTGCTCTTGGACCAGATGAATACGAAAGAGTTTCATCTTGTACAACCGGCAAAGAAATATGGGACAAACTTTAAGTCACTCATGAAGGTACCGATGAGGTAAAGAAATCTAAAATTAGTATTCTAACGCATAGCTATGAAAATTTCAGGATGAAACCAAATGAAGATATCAAAGCTATGACGGATAGATTTTCAACGATTGTCAATGGTCTCAAATCATATGGAGAGATCATTTCAAATGAAAAGCTTGTGAGGAAGTTAGTCTACTCCCTCCCAAAATCGTGGCAATCAAAGAAGACGGCAATCATCGAGTCTAAGGATCTAACATCCTTAACTCTTGAAGAGCTAATCGATTCACTCCTCACTCATGAAAAGATGCTTGAAGCTGAGGTGGACCTTGATAAGATTGAAGAGACACCAAAGGAGAAGGAGAAGAAGAAAAACATTGGAGTTGCTCTCAAATCCACAAAAAATGAGAGTGATTCAGATGAAGATGACGATGACGAGGAAATGGCATTGTTTGCCAAACGGTTCAGAAAAATGATGAGACCTTACCGAGGAAGAAAATTCAAACGAAATGAAGGCCTCAAAAATGAACCAAAAGAGAATGACCCGATCATTTGCTATGAATGCAAAAAGCCGGGGCATGTCAAATATGATTGCCCACAATTAAAGAGAAAAGGTCAATCAAATAATAAGCACAAGGCTCATATGGCTACATGGAGCGATGAAGAAGGTTCCGATGAAGAGGAACAAGAAGTAGCAAACTTGTGCTTAATGGCATTCGGGGAAGATTCTAAGGTAACCTTTAACTCATCTGATTTTGATGATTTATCCTATGATGAGCTATTAGAGGAATATAATGGGTTGGCTTCGGATTATGAGAAATTGTTTTTAAAATATAAAAATGATGTTTCAAAATTAAAAAATGAAAATAAACTCATATCCAAAACCAACAACGATCTTGAAAGTAAAATCAAAGATTTGCAAATCAAACTAGAAGAGTTTGAAAAGAAAAATTTAGATTTGCAAAATTTACTTTCAAAGGTCAATGATGATCATCAAAAGAAAATTGATGATCTTAAAGCTTATTTTGATAAAGTTTGAACAAAACGTTTTGAAAGTGGAGAAAATTCAAAATCCAACTTTGTTAGAAAAAGTTTTAAAAACTACAATCATAGAGGTCCCCAAAGAACCTCTAATGGAAAAATCGTTAGAAGTATATGGGTTCCTAAGGAGCTCATTACTACTAAAGATAAGGATATCCTACACAAATGGATACCTAAGGGGACTAGGATTTTGGAAACTAATGAATATGGACCCAAAAGAATTTGGGTACCAAAAATTAGAAATTAATCTATGTTTGTAGGAAAAGGAGCATTGCTACAAGGCACAAGAAACAAATTCAAACTCATGGTACCTTGATAGTGGATGCTCAAGACACATGACTGGAGACAAAAGTTGGTTCATTAAGCTTAACGCCAAAAATGGAGGAGAAGTGACTTTTGGTGATGATTCAAAAGGTCACATTGAAGGTATTGGTACTATCGGTAATACATCTACCATACAAATTAAGAATATTTTATATGTGAATGGATTAAAGCGTAATCTATTGAGTATTAGTCAATTTTGTGATAAAGGATTCAATGTCATGTTTGATATTAATGGTTGTAAAGTCATTGACATTGCATCTAATCAGATTATACTTGTTGGTCATAGAATAGGAAACATATACATGGTGCATTTAGATTCTATTGATATGACTAATTTGTGCCTAGTGGCTAAGGATGAACATGATAGTTGGTTATGGCATAGAAGACTAGGACAGGCTAGTATGAGTATTTTGCAACGGCTAATTCAAGGTGATTTAGTTCGAGGGTTGCCTAAGCTTAAATTTGATAATGATAAAATCTGTGATGCTTGTGCTAAAGGAAAACAAAAGCGAGTTTCTTTTAAATCCATTAATGATGTATCAACTAGTAGAGTATTACAATTGATCCATATAGATCTTTTTGGGCCAACTAAGACTACAAGCTTGGGTGGAAAACAATATGCATTTGTCTTGGTAGATGACTATTCTAGATATACTTGGGTTCTATTTTTAAGTACTAAAGATGAAGCATTAGAATATTTCATCACATTTTCAAAAATAATCCAAAATGAAAAAGGTTACTCTATAACTAGTGTTAAGAGTGATCATGGCACTGAATTTGAAAATCTTGGATTTATTGAGTTTTGTAATTCTAATGGTATTAGCCATAATTTTTAAGCACCTAGAACCCCTCAACAAAATGGAGTTGTTGAGAGGAAAAATTGAACTTTAGAAGAAATGGCTAGAACCATGCTTTGTGAAAATAATTTGCCAAAATATTTTTGGGTGGAAGCCACAAATACCGCTTGTTATGTTATAAATCGAGTAATGATTAGGCCAATTTTAAAGAAAACTCCATATGAAATTTTCAAAAATAAAAAGCCTAATATTAGTTATTTTCATCCTTTTGGATGTAAATGTTTTGTTTTAAACAACGAAAAAGAGAAACTTGGCAAATTTGATGCTAAAAGTGATGAAGGAATTTTTCTGGGTTATTCCTTAAATTCTAAAGCTTATCGAGTATTTAATAAAAGAACTTTAGTTGTAGAAGAGTCTATACATGTTGTTTTCGATGATAATCCCCTTCCGAGGAAGGATTCTTGTGTGAATGATGATGTAGGTGTTATAAATACAAATGACGTTAGACATGACGTTGGAGAACCATCAT